GAGCATTTTCTAGGACGCAAGCTCATGAATAAGGACCTTAGACTCTCATTTCAAGAATCAGGCTGGAGCCTTTATCCAGGGGAAATTTACATGTGAAAAATGGCATTCCAGCCTACTCTCTCCAATTCTTATAACTCTTTCCCCTTAATTATTCCTGTACTGTTTTGTGTGTGTCACAGAAGGTGCAGCACTAGAACAAAGAGCATCACAGGAAGAATAAAGGGAAAATTCAAAATTAGATTCAGCATGGGACAACAGCGTAAACCAATCCGAAGGCAGCAATCCCTTGATCCCAAGCACATTTTTGGGAAGCAAGGTTCCTAAATTAGCTTTTAAGCAAATGCACACAGGATTTGGTCATTTGGTCGCAACCTGCAAGCAGTTTTGCAAGTGAACGTGTGGCTGGGGTTAGGGCAATGGTGAAATTGGGGCTGCGTGAGCACACGGGTGGAGCCAATCTGGCACTTCCACCGATGTGTCCATGCAGACCTGACCTTACCAGCACTCTGTGCCACTCCAGTGCCATTCAGGGAAGCTGCAGAAACACCAGTGTTAGAACAGCAGCTCTGCAGCTCCACTCCACCCCACCCCACCCCACCCCACCCCACCAGCAGTTACTAGATTGGACAGATCAAATGCTCATCACAGCAGCATCAAATAACATGCCACGTTACAGCTGAAATGATCCTACTAGGCCCCATAGATAGTTTGGGTGGATATTCAATATTGTCAGAAATGCTACAGAGTTAAAAAGAAAATCAAATATGCATTATAGGCTTTGAATTGCTTTTCTCTAGATGAAAGTTGTATCACTTTAGTCTTTCTAGAATATCAGTGCTATTGAAGTCCCAAAATGTCATATTAAACATGTTGCCCCTGAATTATTTTTTCTTGTCTTTTTTATTTTTTAAAAAAGCCCAGAAGTGATTAGAACTAGAATCATTCCTTTTAAGTGTGACATGGAAGATTATGTAAAAATACTGGTAGATCCAGTTTTTCCTCTCCTGCCCTGGCTCCCCCCAGCAAGTGATGAACTGGAACTCCCAACTTCAGTTTCCCACAAGACTTTTATTTTTAGATCAGATTGGTACACAAGGCAAGTCAGGGGTCACAGGAATCAGTGGGTGCATGAGAGGCAAAAGCCGTCGGTAAGTATGAGCCAGGATGATGAACCAACCTTTCTTTTGAAGAACAGGGCAGGCACCACATTTAGCATGGCAAATGGCTGGAGTCCCTGGACTGGCAAGTTAATGGGTGTTCCTTTAGTGATTTGGCTAGGTGAGATCTGTCAGCTCTGGCACTGGTGTCTACTTCTAGGCAATGGAAGGATGCATCACAGTAAGGGCTTTCTTTGAAACATTTAGGGCTTGTCCACGCTGAGCTTTATTGTGGATTCTCTGCTACTCATGTGTTTATGCTTTTTGTTGTGTCCACATATTATCTACCTCATCAAAATGCCAGTCCAAACCACCCACCCCCCATTTAATCCAGAAGTTCATGTTCTAATCCAATAAGGAAAATAAACCCAATTTCAAATTGCAGGCAGTGCAAGTGTGGGCACAGTGTCACACAATGTTTTGGTGGGTGGTTCTTCACTGTCACTTGGTGACAACACAGAGGTGGGCCTTCTCAGTTATAGCACCCAGACTCTGGAATGTCCTCCCTCGGGTAATTCAGGAGATGGAAACAGTAATTACACCTCTTTAAAACTTCTATGTTTACCCAAGCTATTCTGGATGCTAACTCTTCCTTTTTTGTCCGTTTTATTTGTGATAATCATTTCTTTTTCATTTTTATCAAATATTTAGGAAAGTTTTTTAAATGCAGTCCTCCCCCCCAAAAAGTTTAGGGTTACTCTCATTCTCCTACTCATAATGAAATACTGCCCCTCAATGAGGCCAAACTTAGATTCACAAAATGTTGGTATGCATACCCCTGCATCCCCCCAGAAAAAAGTACTGATTAAATGTTATTCTATTTCTTATTATTTTAATGTAAACTGCTGAGAGATTTTAAAATATTTTAAGTGGTATGTATGTATGTATGTGTGTGTGTGTGTGTGTGTACATATATATGGTGATGTTCTTGATCAGTGTTCTCTATGGCCACATACCCTCCTGTTTGCTCCTTGCCTGAGCACAACCCGGACATTTTGTTTTTGGTGGTCCAAATGATGATGGTGTGTCAGTTTTCACTAACTCCTGCATGCTGGAGGCATATTTGCTGTACGTATATCAGCCTTTTCATTCTTAAAAGTTTTTTTTAAAAAATAATAATATTGAGGTTTTGTGCAATACTGCTCTTGCCCAAAAGCTCAGAATTGAAAACACAATGTAAGCAGGAACTAGTAGATATATATCCGGATAGGAATTATGTAAAACCTGATCACTAAGGCTTGCAACATTCTTTTTTGTCCTTTGAGAGTGTCAACAAGCATATACCTAGAGGGGTTCTAGTCAACAAGCTTTGGGGAAACTGCTCTGCACACTGTAGTTAGTTGGTTGGCCCCCAGGCTGTAACTAAGGCCTAATTTTTTTATTTTCTCAATGCATGCAGCTCAGCATGGCATACATAGCACCAAGGATGTTGGTAGCTCAAAAAGATGATTGAAAATCAACACTAAACTAATCTGGTTTGTGGTGTTGTGGTGTGCCCCATCCTAAACTCACTTCCTAGGATAGGAAGCATAATACAATCCCTACTGGAAGTATACAGCAGGAACTCTTAAATGTATGGGTTCTTAACAGACTATTTACAAATAGGTTTATTGTGCCCAGCTAGTTTCTTTCTTCTCTGCCCAAGAAACTGCCCATTTCGCTCAGCTCTTAAACACACTGTTATTTCCCCACTAAAACCTATAACCAGCACAAGAAGTCTTAGGAACACACCAAACACAAATGCATGCATCTCTCCCCCTTTGTTTCCAGATACCTTTACACAGAAAATAAATGGTTCATGCATTTTATCACCTCTGCCAAAGATTAGCTTTCTGGATTTTATAAGGAAGATAAATTAAACCTTGAAACAATTGGAAAGTGGCTACTGCCCACGAACAATGATTTTGAAGCAGGAACTGCCCACACTTCTGTCTATTCTCTTTATCTAGCCAGTCAATACTTCACATCCAAAGAACAATCTACATGACAGATTACAAATTCTAATGACCCCAAATAGGCAAGAACTCAGAATTGATTCCTAATTATGAGAGTTCAATAAAGGTCACCCTTCTAATAACTTTCTCTGGGCTTGTAGTGGGGAAAAGACATCGGGATGGCAGTCCTTCTTTCGTTTCCACACTGTGGATGCCTGCTGTATGAGTGCTTCTTGAGCCATGAATTAACTGGAGAGGCTGGTGAAATTTGCAAACAAATTTTGTCACTCTTACTTGGTTCGTAACTGGGGGAATGAGTGGCGCACGCACATTTTATCTGGGGTGAGTGTGGGAAGCTGCCATCTGATGCCTGGTGGGTGAGATGGCTGCTTCTGCCAATGCTGCTGGAGTTGCGGGCATCTCTTCCTCCAGGTTCCACCAGGCAGTCACAAGCTGGGCTGCCAGGATTCATGACACACAGGATTGCTGCACAGATGTTTAGGCAAGGTGCCACTGCCAGCTCACCAGCCCCGGCACTACAGCTCCCAAGTGGCATTGCAAGAATCCATAGGCACCAAAACATCTGAGCTGGTTTTAGAACTCCTTTGCTTTAAAGAAAAGCAATCTTCTCTACCTCCTGTTGATCATTCATGGAGGATGCTCATTGGTTTGAGGGGGGGGCATCACACATCACATCCGGATTCGTGCTGGTGATATTTTTATTTTCTTTTGACTCTTTCCTGGGAAGTGACACTGTGGGGACATATTGATATGTCTCCTTTACCAAACGGACAGAGCCTAATATAGCACGTTGCCTAACAGCTGATTCTGGGAATGGAAATGCTGTGATTTTTCTCAGTGGTGTCTTGCAATTCGGTGTGCCTGTTTTTAAAGTCCTGGGTCCCAGATGGGTTCATGGCACAGTTAAATACTCAAACATTTTCTTATCAGAAAGAAGCCCGACCTTAAATCCCTCAGTTCTCTCTCTCTCTCTCTCTCTCCCCGCCTCCATCTACTGCTATTGCTGTAAAACCTTTGCTTTCAGCCAATTTACTCCTCTGGAACAGCTCCTGATCAAATAATTGATGATGATTTCCCTGATCAAGTATTTGTTCAACTGGCAGACCTCATAATTCCCACTTCCACAACCCGACACAAGGGCTGGTAGTTCTCTGCCTCGAGAAAGCTTAAATTCTGTGCCAAGATGATGCCAACATGTCACATTATGCAAACTGCTGCTATTTTTATGCAGATGCAGTGCTTTTCCTCTTATTGTGTACATTTGGATTTCAGCTCTGTCTATCTCTTTGGAAACAGCCAAATTTAAGGGTTTCTTCAAAAGTGTCTTACTGAAAAGTGTGTGTGTGTGTGTGTGTGTGTGTGTGTGTGGTAACCTCATTTTGTGATCTTCCCTCTGAGCAGAACATTACTTTCTACAAGGAAGTATAGGAATATTTTTTAATGTTTGAAACAACAAGAGACTATATAAAACAACGGGACATTTTGAATATATGTTACCTGTTGCACCTGGACATAAGAAAAGTCTAGACAAAAAAATCTGTGTCATTGTTATTTGCATCCTTTCCTTTGGATGAGAGTGAGAAAGGGAGACTCATGGTAGATTTATCCTGCCACTAATCTCCATTGCTTCACCTACAGTGACTATTGCTGACCTGAAATACCCACTAAGGAGGCAGCCTCACAGTTTCTCCCTCACTCTTTTCGCTCAGTTGTACAGCACATGCTTTTTGTGCATAAGGTCTGTGGTTCAACTGCTGACATCTCCAGACAGGACTAGGAAAGGCCTTTGTCTGAGACCCTGCAGAATCATAGAAACATAGAATTGTAGTGTTGGAAGGGCCCACAAGGGTCATCTAATCCAACCGCCTGCAGTGGAGGAATATGTGTCTGTACCAAGACAGGAATTGAACCTGCAACCTTGGTGTTATCAGCACCATGCTCTAACCAACTGAGCTGAGAGGTGCTGCCAGTCCAATCCAGAGAATACTGAACTCAAGAGATTGACAGTCTGATTTGGTATAAGGCCATTTCCTTCTCATGTTTCTAAGGCTGTGTACATTTAAAGCCCATCTCCCCCCAGCACACACAGTCTTGGGAATGGTGCGCACACACTACACTATCTGTTTTAAAACACAATTATAGGGGTTTTCTTTTAATCCCCAGGCAGTGCTAGGCATTCTCTGCTAGTGCACACTAAAAAGGATGCTGGGGTGGTGGTGGTGCTGTGTTGAATTCAGTCTAAGTCAGGTCACTTTGAAATCATTGGGGCATCTTAGCCATGAATTAGTCATGGGACTTAGGTGCAGCTAGCAGCCAGTGTGGCGTAGTGGTTAGAGTGTCAGACTAGGAGAGATCCGAATTCAAATCCCCATTTAGCCATGAAACTCACTGGGTGACCTTGGGCCAGGCACTGCCTCTCAGCCTGACCTTCCTCACAGGGTTGTTGTGAGGATAAGATGGACAGGAAAAGAAATATGTATGCTACCTCGAGCTTCTTGGACAAAAAAAGGGGGTATAAATGTAATAAACAAATTCTCAGGAATAAGCCCCACTGTATTCATGAAGAGATTTCCTAGTAAGTTGATTTAGGATTGCAACTCATTGTTCATAGAATGCTGGAAACAAAAATTCCAGGATGAGGAGGGCGGGGCGGAGGCCGTGCTTGCATTTCGAACTTAAGCTGTGATTTACATGGATAATTCTGCTCCCCAGGCCATTCCATTGTTTCTTTACCCACTTGAGAAGTTTTTAGCTGTTAGCGTTGCTTCCAGCTATAAACCAGCTCATGCAGAATAAACCGCTGGCAGCTGCAATGCTCTCTTAGGCAAAGCTGCCTTTCCTCTGCTGCTGTTCTTCATTCAAGAAGGAAGAAATGGCTTATAAATAAATGATATATACTTCTTTCCTTGCTCCATCCTCCAGAACAAGTCTGTTAGGTGGTGCTTCTTTTGACTCATAAATGCTAGTTTTCCACTCCCCCCCCCCAGCAGACTGCTGTTTTCAGTTTTCTAACATCTCTTGCTATATATAGCTAATTTGTCTAACTGAGAAGGGGGCAAAGAAACCCTTTACTTTCTGTAGGGAATACCAGCAAAGCAGCATATATCTCCATGGAAACATGTTTCTCAATCCATCAACCTCCTGCAGTACCTAAGACATAATCTGCAAGGTGGAGACTACTGTTTAAAATTAACATGGCACATGTCATTTCAGGATTTAATGTCAGTTTTACAGGACTATTAATTAGGCTGCCTTTCCCAGATCATTAAGAAATTCTGTGTTGTTTTTTTAAAAATAAATTTCTCCATAGAAGGAATGTTCTCCCGATTCCCTCATTAAAATGCATCGTTTGACTTTTTGCCTGCAAACATGTCATAAATGGGGGTTTCTATAGTAACACGGGATACTGGCTTAATTTAAAACTGTAATCTTTACACAAGGTTTTTAGCCACCAAAATGTGATTTTTTTATATATATAAAAAGATATGACCAAATTGCAAAACTTTGCCCCGTTAGAATGACATTCTGACCTTCCAAAAACCCTCAATAAATAATACAGTAATTCAAGGGGGCAGGGAGGGGGGAGAATTAAACTGTGCTTAATTGAGACTTGTGCTTCCATCACATCAGCTATTTTAATAGCTGCTTCCTTTGAATTTGAAACTTGGGTTGCATAAATTCTGCATATATCACTTGCTGGCAAAGTCATTATTCTGCTTGAATTATCAAACCAATAATTTAAATTATCACACTTATTTGGGCTTTTTGGGAGGAAGGGTGAGATTTAAATTGTTGTTGTTGTTGTTGTTGTTGTTGTTGTTGTTGTTATTATTTCATAACCTGAAAACAGTAAATTTAAATCTTGAAATCTGTCACGATTTCAATGATCTGCTGTCGCCAGTTTGGATTATGAAAAGTTAAAGAGATTTTTAAAATATCTTAAATATATCAATATCTGTCTATCTATATATCCAAGCAAACAACAACAACAACAACAACAGCCAGACAGAGATAATTAGGCTGGGTGAATCACATCTAGTTTTGTGTTGGCCCAGCTAGCATGGCCAATGGTCAGGAATTACGGCAGTTGTACCAATAACACCTGGAGGCACAATGTTGTCCATATTGGTATCTGCTAGTGATAAAATTCAAGATAAGACTCCTGATATTTTAATTTGATTTCCATCAACTCTTATATTTGATTCTATGTATAAAGTCGGGGTTGTATCCAACGCTGCCATCCTGCTGACACAACACCTTCCCACTTTTCCAAAGCGTGTTCTCCCTCATGGAGAGCACGTGTTGCGGTGGGGGCTGACAAGACACCTCACTGTTGCTGGGCAAAAGAGTTTGGCCATCTTTAAGCAGGGGCGGGCTGTTACTGGGGAGATTTGTATGTTGCCATTTATTGATTGACAGCCCTGTTTGTTAAATACACTGCACGCAGTGACGAGCTTCCTCTTTCGCTGCGTGCTTTGGATCACTCGCCCTCCCTCCCTAATGTTAGGCTGTTTGCTTGACCTTGCTATGCCTGTCATGGGGTCGTCTGCTTTGGGGCAGGGGCCTGGTAGGAATTTTGTCCATTTGGCTGATTGGCTGGTGCCATTTGGTTTTTGCCTACTGCGTAGCAAATTGTCACAACTTGTAAGGTTGCGGTTAGGCATTGGTTTGGGAATTGGTTGGTGGAGGGGTATGGATTTGGCTGCGCCTGCCCCTCCAAAATGCTGCTACTGCAAGGGTTTTCCGTTAAAGGAACCCAGGGGCTCGCCATGCTTTTGTCTGAAACCCCTGTCAAGGGGCTAGGGCCACGCAAGAGCCCCTTGGAGCATTCTGGGGAGAGGTGAGGCATGGTTCCCAGTCCCGTCTCTCTCCCCAGGTGACTTACCCTTGCTGACTTCGCAGGGGGTGCGAATGTCAGAGCTGTCTCCTGCAGGGTCAGTTAGTCGCTACCAATGCCTAAGCAACTACTCACATTGCTGTATTTTTAATAAAGTTGTGGCCAAAATTATGCCAAAAACCTTAAACAAAAATCAAGTGTCGTTGTGTTCTTGGGGACCTTGACACGCAACAGATTTTCCTTCTTCTCTGCTCTCCCCTGCATCCCCTCAAGATGTATTTCAGAGAGTTAGGGGACTGGAGAAGATTTTGGGGGAATGTGGGCAGAGGAGAGGAAGGGGAAATTGCATCATGGGAATAGAACACCATTTGAGCAGCATTGGATCCAACCCTTGATTTTTCTCAATTAGTCATGGGCATTATCTAGGCATGAGTTACGTTAGAAAATGTGAATGACTTCATACTCTGTCCCTTTCAGTGAGAAGTTCTCCTCTGGTCACATGACATGAAAATGTTATGCGGATAGAATTCAAATATACACATTGGGTTGGATCTAGACTTAATCATGCTTAGACCATTGCAATAAATGAATCTAAGCACGACTAGCTCTGCATCCAACTCATCAGCTGCCGTTTTAATGATCTTGATATGCTTTCAATATCACTCTTAGCACTGAAACATGCCAACCAGCCAAATATACTCCTAACTTGAACTGGCATGACAGAAGCAACATAGCAAGGTAGAATCTTGTGATGGGGAAAAGTGTTATTCCAATTCAGGTTATTAAAGTGAATATAGTTTATCATTTTTATAAAATCTGTAATAAATTGCAGTGATGCTTGTTTGTTCTTGCCAGAAGTATTAAATCATGCAGACAAGTTTTCTATATGTATTTAAAGTGCAGTGGGAAAACTGCTCTTTAGTCACCAGTTCTTATGAGGAAAATTTTTGCTGCTATCGATTCACGAGTATCTTTCAGCTCATATTATCTCCGAGTCAGAGCTTGCATAATGATTATACTTCTGCCCTAATCCACAGTGAGCAGCTGTTCTGCATATCAAAAAGGCTTCTTTCAAAATCATTCCTCCCTGAAACTTTCACCAAGGTACCATATAATTTGTCTTGCTTCATTTATTTTCTGTGACCAAAATCCAATATTTTCGATGTCCCTGTAAAAGTAATAAAGTCGGCAAAATTGTAATACATTCAGAATATTGCATGAAAGTTTGTTGTGGCACCACATAGACTTAGCTTGTCAGATTTGGTTGCATGGTGACATTGCAAAGTCAATTCAGAATAAAGGAACAGCTTTGCTTCACTCTGAATGGTGATTGTTGGGAAGGGCTGCCATGCTGTGACTACTTTCCTCCCCACTCTTTACAGCCTTTCGGTGGGGGGAATCTTCAAAAGGGGGAGGGTGCTTTTTGCAAGGAGTAAAAATGATTGTTAAAAATCACTCTGTGTTCTAGCTTAGTTCCAAAGAGAAGTTAACAGCTTGAACATAACATGCTGAAAGCAAGAGCTCAACGTGTTCAGGCAAAAGCTAATGTTTCAACTGAATTACCTTCTAAATGCCACAATTTAGAGAGTGATTCTGAGACTGTGTGCATCAGTGGAGCTGCATTAACTTCTGTGCAGCTTCAATGGCTTAAGTGGTTTTAGGACTGCTCTTGCCTTGCAAAGAAAAACAAAAAACCTTTGTTAAGTCCTGTCTTTGGGATCTGTTTTCCTCATTTTGCCTGTGTTGCTATCTTTGAAGCAGCACCTTGCTGATATGAATGATATGAATGCTTGTCTAGCTTCAGTCATTCCGTAGTTCTCTCACACATCCCGTCATTGCAAATTGGCTTTAACTTAATTCAAAACACTCCTCATTTGGGATTTTGCTCTTCTTGTTTCATACAATAGAGACGCACAGCTCTGTGAGTTCTATCAGTCATCCTGAAATTTTCAGGATGGAATGAAGACAAAGAAGTTCTCACTAAGGCATCCAGCAACTGTGAAACATCTTTTTTTTGTGTGCCTGTGATGCTAACAGCTATGTGTTTCACGGCAGTGTGGTGAAAAGGGTTGGAAGAATCTGTCAATTTCAGCTCTGTTTCTCAGTTCTCTACATTTTGCATCAATT